ATTATGGCCTTATTGGTTTGTATACCGTTAATATATTGACAGAGCCCAAAAGGAGGCAGCCAGGGCTAGCGGAGATAAACTGGAAACATGTATCATAGAATGGTGGAGTCAAGAGCGTTGCTGGTTCAATGGAGAGAGGTAGCTCACGTGTTGGAGCTTGGCGGTCAGCCGCGAGCACCTTTTGAACCTTCGTTGCTGACCGCCACTCGTCTGAACGTCCTCCGTGTCGGCGGGCTGTTCAGAGAGTCAAACTGTTCCTCTTCTGTCAAGGTCGAAACAGTGGGTTACACAGTTCCGGCCTCAGTTTCCAGCCTCAGTCCGCTTGTTCCTCCCAGACGACAGTGACACGGTACCGGATAGAGGGAGGGGAGAGCGACGCGCCGCTGGCCCCGTCTGAGTTCCATTGTAGCCACCGCGCGTCAGAGTCACAGCACTTAAATATCGATTTCGGTTTGGTACAAGCCCCGCCCCTCAGTTGGTCAATCTCAATTCAACCACACGCGGCCCCCGACGGAACCCGCACTGAGCCAATCAGCGGCAGCGCAGCCACTGTGGACGTCAGTGAGACTTGGACAAGAGGTGAGCAGTTCAGCATTGCTGTGTAGAGTCACGCTTGGAAGCCGCGCAGGGAGTGCTCTCCGATGGAGCGTGTGCTGGGATTACAGCGGGCACTGCATGGTCATGGTTTACATGTCATTTTTATCGGTTCATTGTCATTTTGTACTTTTGGGTCAAGCGTGGTAAAAAGTGATCTGTTGTTATGTTTGAAAGAGTAACAAGGTAGCCCAGAGGTGGTAGGAGAACGAAAACGGACTTTCATTATCAATGGGAATACAGGGAATGTCTTACACATTAATAAGGATAAGTGGTGATGCATAAATTACAATCGTAGTTTAGAGTTGACCTATTACTTCCTGTTGCAATTTGATGTCTATTTTAATGTTACGGAGTGTGGTATTAAAAAGAACAGTCCACGAATACACCAGCCGGTAGCACTGCGAGATGAACGTAAGATATTTGTAGCTAGGTATACCAGGCCGTATGTGTGGTTGGTGGTGCCTCATGTAGATGTGTGACAGCATAAAATAGGGCTTTACAACGTGACTGTGTTGTAAGTTGAATGACGCATAGAGGAACTTGGATACCCTTGAAAGTAAATAAATAGTTGGTCGTGTAAATGCGCCAAAGTAAATACATAAAATGTTTTTAAATAATTGTATAATTAAAAGCTCCACATTCTCAGGTAGGCTGTGTTTCTACCATAGGGCAAGCGTGACTGACCCGATGAATAACAGGCGCTAAAGCTGAAACGATTGTTCAGTCAATGACGAAAAGTTGTAATCAGAAGAACTTACGTTTATTACTTTAGAGTTCTGTTTGTTTTCTAAGTTGCAAACTGAAAGGCCCTATCACCTTTTTGTTTAAAAAGTTCCAACTGGACTCAGATAAAGGTAAAGTAATGTGAGTTTTAGAGGGATATGTCAGAGCTTCTGCTTCTTCAAAACTTCATGAAAACTTCACTTTTCATGAAATTTAAAAAAAAATCAAGAAATATAAAAAATATAATAGTGGTGGAGGAAGTATTCATATCCTTTACACATGTACAGTAAATATAATACTGCAATATAAACATCCTCTATTACAAATAAAAGTTCTGCATTGAAAATGTCCCTTAAGTATGTAAGTATTACTACAGTAGCAACATGCTTGGAGCACCAATAATAAAAGTACTCAATGCTTAATTGTATACTGGTGGGTTGTTTAATCCATAATACTGAATTATATTTCATAAGATCATAATTTTAGCATGCAAAATCTTAGTAAGTACAAGTTAGTAAGTAACTTGTAAGTACACCTGTCAAATAAATGCAGTGACGTAAAAGTTAAGTACATCCATTTTAATACAGAACTTGAGTAAATGTACTTAGTTTCATTCTACTGCTACATAGAGCATGTTTTGTGATTCAAAAACAGAACAAAGATCAGTTTTCTACAGTTGATTTGGCAGTAAAAAGTGATGAGTAACAGTTCTATTTAATGTTTTATGGGGAAATAATCCCAACCTGCATCCAGAGTGCTGTTGTTTTCCTCACAAGACATTGCAACTTTAGCCACAAATCTTGATTGAAAGCAGTGGAAATATCAAATGTCAAAATCCTCAATGGCTTTGATTCACACAATATGAAATGATATATAAATGAATGGGGTTCACTTGCATACAGTAACAAGTAAAAACAACCCTTTACAATATGTTCTTCTGTCAAGTATCTGGAGCTGCGTTTTAACAGAGCGACACGTCTGCTGGGAACTGTGCCCTTCATTGTTCAGACTGTGAGTACAAAGTCAGTCAAAACATAATAAGGGGCTTAGATATTTTGAGGGCAGAACAGCAAATCTGACACCTGAGGGTCATTTATGTGTGTGAATTATTTCTCTCTGTCTGTCACAGATCCTCTACACTGGAATCGTCATTTATGGCCCAGCACTAGCTTTAAGCCAAGGTATGTTGGTTTTAGTCCACATTGGTCAGTTTACAATGATGACACCTAATGCTGATTGGTTTTGTGCCATTGAGTGACTGCTGTGTAATATCCTGCTTTCTCTTTCTCTCTCTCTGTCTCTCTCCAGTTACTGATCTGGATCTATGGAGTGGAATTATTTCAACAGGCATTGTCTGTACTCTTTACTGCACATTGGTTTGTAAAGAAATTGTTTAAATGAGTTCTGCTCTGTACAGTTAGGTACATAATCATGTGGCAACAGGCTCATTCAAAGCAAGTACTTTAAGACATTGAGTACTGTAGGCACAGAAAAACTTTGTATACCTGGATTTGAATAGAGATATCATTGGAGCATCTATCTGTGGTCTAAACTGTTACAGGGTGGACTGAAGGCAGTGGTGTGGACTGATGTGTTCCAGGTAAGCCTCTGGATGAAATTGGCTGGTTGATATGGTTTGTTTCACTTAGAGTGAATATACACTATATATACACTAGCGTTTCTTACACAGCAGCGTATCTTACCACGAGAAAAAGCAGGAAATGTATCACTATTATTCAAAAGTAATCACAACCATATTTTGGAATAATACAGTATATATAAAGTTATACATTATACATTATACGTAATCCATGGAAAATAGCTGAAGTGCAACAAACTGGTATAACCAGATACAAAAATCCAGGTAGGTGTGGTAATCAAATCTCCTATTTTACCTTCTAGATTGGAATAATGCTTGCCGGTTACCTTGCTGTCATCATCAAGTCTGTGACCTCACAAGGAGGAGTCCTAACCGTCATTTCAGATTCACAACAAGGAGGGAGACTCAACCTTTTGGAGTAAGTATCTTAAAGAATCAGAATATTAAGTCGAGAGAGGACTAGTTTCATTCAAACATTGCAACTCAACTTTGAGCAATAGATGCTTTTTTGGACTGGCAGAAAAATTATTTTCTGACCATAAAAAGCAAGACTATATATATTTATATATTTACTGAATTAGAAACCATGTTTTTATTGTGTTTCACCAGCTTTGACATAAACCCTCAGAGAAGACACACTTTTTGGACCACTGTCATAGGAGCGACGTTTGGCTATATCACACTCTATGGGACTAACCAATCCCAGGTTCAGAGATACGTCTCCTGCAAGAGCATCACTCATGCCAGAGTGTGAGTCACATTTTAATAAAGTCTTGCATTTCATAGAAACTATAAAGGATTATGTTTTACAGTTTTTTTGTATTACTGAGTAATATGTATTACTGATTCATGGGTAATAGGTGATTGAAAATAGTTCAAATCTTCACAGATATATGCATGTGGTAGGAAGGAACTGAGGAATATCAATAAGAGTGTATCAACTCAACCAGTCTGGACAACGAAATCTGAGGATTTGTGATAAATATGATTATATCATCAGTATATATTGATATATATAGTGATAATAGATGCTCTTTATCCCCCTCTGGTAAATGTACTTAATCTCTGACTGCCACCGCCATGGGGTTCAGTCACAATGCTGAAGAAGAGGGTTCAGTATTAGGGTTTTTATAGCGAAATTGAATTTGCTGCAATAATATATAGGCCCATGGATCCTATCAAATGTTTTTCAGCAACCAACACCACAATCACTGCATCAGGGCTAGATGCTGAGAGTAGTGAATCAATTCATAATTTTCCCATACTATAAATGTTTGTGTACAGGTCTTTTGCCTTTGATTGTATTGAGTTTGTGTTTCTTTCTTTTTGCAGAGCACTGTACATCAACTTGTTAGGTCTGTGCTCCTTCTTGCTGTGCTCAGTGTTTGCAGGAATGTGCCTCTACTCAGTCTATATGAACTGTGACCCATGGACAGCCGGACTGGTTTCTGCTCCCGATCAGGTACGATGGAGAGAAGCACAGCATAGCTGAGAGTTATAGTTGTCAGTGTTTTAACACAACACACACATATACTGTATATCTGTACACACAAGGAAACGAGTGGATTACAATAAACATGCTATGGTGTCACCATTTCTTTAATGTGTCAGCTTCTTTATCATGTATATTAATCCCTGTCATCCCTTCTCTACAGCTGATGCCATATATGGTGATGGACATGTTGACAGACTATCCTGGCCTTCCCGGACTATTTTTTGCATCAGTATATAGCGGCTCTCTAAGGTTTATACTCAACATTAAAGTCATTCCACTCCTCAGATCCAACTCACATACATAGCATTTTAAGCCGTGCCATGTTTTCACTGCTAACCTTTAGGCAGAATGTATGTACAGGAATATTATTGCCTAGCTCCTTTCTCACCATTGCTTACCATCTTTTGATACAATATATTATTTGAAGTAATTGATTATACGTGTCCATTACTCTAAACGGACATTGGCTGATAAATACTTATGATATGATGGTTCTTGCTTGTTTTTCTGATTGTGTTGTCATTTAACCCCAGCACAGTGTCTTCCAGCATCAATGCATTGGCTGCAGTGACATTAGAGGACTTTATCAAACCGTACACTAACATGTCTGAGAAACACCTGTTCTGGATGTCCAAAGGACTGAGTAAGTGGATTGTCCTTGTTTGCAGGCTATACTGTATGTCAGCTGAATGATTTGCCTGATGAGCACTATGTGATGGTGTAACTCTGGTAACTAAATTATTAATAGATTATTTCTGATACAATTTGGTTGCAGGTTTCTTTTATGGAGTTTTATGCATTACCATGGGTGGACTGGCCTCAGTCATGGGAGGGATGATGCAGGTAGAGTGGATCTGTTACACAAGCATCACAATTTCTGGATAAACAAAAACAGTAACCATGTCTCCTTAAACAGGCAGGTGTCATTATCGGTGGGGTCATTGGAGGTCCTTTACTTGGCCTATTCACATTGGGTATCCTCTGTCCATTAGCCAATTCCAAAGTGAGTATTTTTGCTTTTTCTGGTGTGATTCCTTTAACTCATGAAAATATTAAATAACTAATAATAAATAACTTTTGATTTTCCTGTTTTACTTCTATTGTTCTATGCTGCTCACTCATGGGTTGGAGTATGGTATTAAAGAATAAAGAAAAAAGCAAATGTTGGCACTTGTGATGCTACAACCAGAAATTAAAGTTTGACAAAAATGATATTATAACCCCAGTTTTATAATCACAGTCCACAACTGGATTTCCTCCAATCACACGTATGCCCACGGCCGACAGCGTGGGATTGGCGGTGCTCATCAGTAGAGGGCTCTGCCTAATAGAACTAGGGTTACAATATCGTAACCTTCGTTCTACCTGATGCCTGTTTTGATCGTGAGGTTGTTTTTCTATAGGGAGCTTTGTCAGGCCTTGCGTCAGGGTTGGCTGCATCCTTGTGTGTGAGCCTTGGAGCCCTGATGTACCCTTCCCCTCCTGCAATGACCCGACCTCTGTCACTGACCACTGAAGGTTGTAACTTCACCACGACACACAGCCTCAACTGGACCTCCACTGCTCTGCCCACAGAATCAAGCTCCATCACCACAGCCCCATTACAGAACAGCGATGACAAGTAAGTGTATAACTGCCTCTGATGAATGATTGAATGAAATAGCTATTGTAAGAGCAATGGAGCAGTTAAGTGTGAACTGAGATGGCACGAACAGTTCTGCTGGTTTTATATTATTTTCGTAGAAGAAATACGGGCATTGTTAACTAAAGGATACAAATTAAGACTGTAAATGACAGCACCATGAGACCACATAAACCACAGAAGAAGAAGAAGAAGAAGAAGAAGAAGAAGAAGAAGGAGAAGGAGAAGGAGGAGGACGACTCTGGGGATGGCAATAACGATTGGTCAGTCCACCACTTTGGTCCAGATGAATATCTTAACAATTATTGGTGGGTTGCCATGAAAGTTTGTACAGACCTTCATGGTCCCCAGAGAATGAATCCTAATGATTTGATCAGTGGTTCCCAACCTTTTTCTTAAGGCACTCCTTTTCTGTCATTGTGTAAATTGATGACCGCAAACTACGTGACTTTTATGGGTTTCATATTATTTTCAATGCATAACAATAACAGCACAAAACAACTGATGAACTGTACAATGAACTTAACCATAACCAACCATTACTGCAGGAAGTTATTCATCCAACAATTTGGATGCATTTTGAGCTGGTTATTTCTTGTGAATATTGCATTAGAGTTGAGAAGGGACTTTTTATTCAACTCTCTGGCTCTATTGTATATTTTTATCATTTCTAACAATCATACATACTTAAACTGCTTCTTTCAGTTTTTCTTCTCATTGTTCTATTGGCTCTTTTCTAATGCAGGACTAGGCTCTGTGAATAAAGCTTGTATTCAGGTCTTCAAAGTTTAGATCTTAAATAATGATTTAAACTTTATAAATACATTGAATTTAGTTTTCATTACATGATATGCTTAGATATAGGCCTACTGTCTATAATTTTCAAGTTGTCTTACACGCCTTAAAATCAAGAAGGCCTCACAACCCCCTCTAAAGCTTTGGCGACCCCTAGTGGGGGTCCCAACCCCCAAGTTGGGAACCACTGACTTTGGTGATTCCTTGACCTTTACTTACCATGACATTCCCATTTGTGGTTTTCGGTGGAAAGTTTATAACCAAATACCTGCCAAACTATTGACATTCTCATCAGCCTTAGGTGTAGGCTACAAATGTTAATATGCTAATATTTCAACTATGATGGTGAACATGGTAAACATTCAATTTACATGTAATGAGCATGGTGATGTTAGTTATCAGCTCAAAGCAGCTGTTCCTGCATTAATCTTTGCCCCAGATTTCATGGCAATCCTTCAAGTATTTGTCAAGATCTTTCAATCTGGACTAAAGTGGTTGACCCTGCTGTTTAGGAAACAGTTAAGAAACTCTTATCTAACTAAAATATTTATTAAAATTTTTTTGCCGGAGAGCTCAAATTAAACAGAACATATATAAATGGAAATGTGCAAGATTTCACTCCTGTTAATATTAATTTAATATGTAATATTTTCTCTCACCACCAGACAACTGGCAGAAAACTGGCACTCTCCTTCCTACCTTTACTTCTGTCTTATTGGAGCTGTAACTTCTATCAGTGTAGGAGTGATAGTCAGCCTGTTTACAGGTAAAGAAATATATTCTGTTGGCATTAGTTAATTACACTGGATATGGAAATCCAATATCACATTCTTAGTGTTTGTAATGACCCTGTTTTGTAAATTTCAGGAGGCTGGAGGGCCAGGGAGGAATCGAGGCTTTCCTTTATGAAAGAAGACACAACTACTTATCACATATTCTCGTTTTTCAAAGACAGAGTAAGCGCTGCAGCAGGAAAACAATATTATAACAAAGCTACAGACTGATAACAGCTGCTGACTTCTGCTTTGTACTTTTTTCTCTTCAGGTCATGAGACGAGCAGAAAAGCTTCACCTGACAAAAAACGGAGAGAAGAAAGTTGGCAACATAAATGCTGCTTTCTGTGATGGTGGTCTTTACAGGCAGCATTCCCACATTCATTCCCTCTAATGGAAACTTTTTTTTGTAATTACAAAAAAAACAGGATATCCCTGTTTAAAAATGTACATCTGCATGTTTATTGTTGTTCTCATTATATATTAGCTATTAATTATAGCTCTGATGTTTTAAGGAATTATTTTTTCCAGTCTGAAAATGTGTTTGATCTCTCTCTGACATGCCTTTAAATAGTGTAACATTTCTCTTAATTAGTATGTGTGTTATCCTTACTGCTTTTAACACAAAATTGAACACCTGCGCAATAGCTTAAACGTATCTCACAGCCAGAGGGTGCTGCTGATTTGTTATATGAGGCACATGAGCTCTTCCTTTGGATACTTGGATTTGAATGGAGGTACCATTACAACACCTGTTTGTGGTCTGCATTGTTACAAGGGTGCAGACCGATGTTTTCCTTCTGGATAGAAACAATGACGCAGTAACACCAGTACTACAAAGACAGATTTATAAAGGAATGATGTTGTTTGACCATTCATGTTCATTAATTAAACTGTCATACACAGCAGTTGTAGGCCACCACAGCAAGGAAACATGACATATTGTATCCCATTGCAAAAAGAAAAATTGTAATAAAAAACCCAAACAAACTCAGCCATTTTGGTTATTGTATGTCCTGACTGCTTTTCTATTTTGACATTTGCCATAAATAACACTGATCTGAAAGTTAGAACATACAAGAAAGTCATACATATAGTTTGGAAATCTTTACTTTATGTAACACTGTTAAGAAGTAAGGATTACAACGCTCTTTACTGAGGTGAATGAGAAGAGAACCTTCATTAAAGGAAATGTATGTGCTCTGTACTACCTCTGCTTCAGTATCACTGGAACCATAACAGCTACCAGTGTGGGAATACATATTTGCATTGCATTTTCCTGTTTTGTAATGAGCTTCAAGGTGTTATGATGCACTCTTTTGTGGTCTTAATGCACATTTAAGAAAGCTCGAATCTCAAAGTGTATCCAAGGTTTATGTCAATGAAAGAAGACAACTCTATAATCACCTATTCAAAGACAGAGTAAGTGCTGCAGTGACAAAACAACATGAGTGCTGATCTCTGCTTTGAGCTTTTCCCTCTTCAGGCCAACAGGAAACCTTGCCCTTACAGAAATCAAGGAGAAAAACTCTGGTAACTCCAGTTTATTATGACAGAGGACATCAATGTTTCAAACGTTGCTCTCTATCAGATAGTGCATTGATACATAGTCATGTACATTCAATCAATTTGACCATGTATTTACAAATATATACACTGAAATACGAAATACATTGAACAATATGATTCAGTCAGTCTGGTATCTGCACGATTCTGCAGTTTGTTATAGACACACCTGCAGCTGTAATACCTACCAACCCCGACAGCAGTCATGATCTGAACACCCATTTTACAACGACATTAAATGAATTCATCCTGATTGAAGACATGTTGATTCCTATTTCTGGAGGATAATGTTTGTGATTTAAAACCTGGCATTTAAGGTACAACTTGTGTATAAAAAACAGCTTCATCATCAACACTTTGTGGCACTTCTTACAGGTGGATGTTAAGATTACTTCTCATAAAGAGACAACTGTTTTTCACTCCTGCTCAGTATCGTGGGCTGCATGTGATAAAGGCAAATACCAACACTGTACTTTCCACAGACTGTTCGGAACCGTGGACTGTGTTTCAGTTCAGAAGGGTACATCAATGCTGATCTAGGAGTGTCATTATTTCTCTGGTTCACAGTACCTCTTCTTCATGGCTCGATACTTCCTGAGGAAATAGAGAGCCTCCAGTTCCTTGATGACAAAATCGCCACGGGCCACCAGCTTTTGGATCTTTTCGGGGTCCGTCACGTCTTTATTCTTCATGAACGCCGACTTCAGGCGCTCTCTGAAATACGCTGCTCCCTGGGGGTACTCACGGCCAAGATAGAGCAGCTTAAAGAGGATGAGAAACATACTGAAAACCACCTTCTGTGTGTGTGTGTGTGTGTGTGTGTGTGTGTGTGTGTCACTGACTGATTCACTTACGGTTTTGTAAAGCTTGATGACCTCCCCCCTCAAAGTGTTGGCCATGTCAGAAACGAGATGGCCTTTCACACTTCTGAAACGAGAAGAGTACGACAGAGAGACTGCCCGTTAACTGAGGCGACAACAACAACAACAACAACAAACATAGCTAAAGTTAGCTACAGAGGGAAGCTATGGCGTTCGTTAGCGGCTAACTATATCCATTACAGACTCTACAAACAACCATATTAAACAGAGCTTTCATATTTACGCGTGTTTCTTTCGTGAGTGGATTCACACAAGCGCTACGACACTGAAGAAGCGTCTCCTTCTGTTTGTCCTTTACGCAGTGCACAGCCGTACGTCGTTCCGTTACGTCGCAAATAAAAACAGATAACCACGCATGCGTACGCGTTTCTATGGCTACCTGGACGCTGTAGAGCTTTTTAGTTTTAGCATGGTGAGTTGTTCCACTTTCTTTCGACTAAAATGCTCATTTGTCATATTCAAATTGTGGCTTTTAACTGTAGTTCATGTAGGAAGTGAGGCTTAAGATAACGTACAAACTTAGAGGACAGTGAGTAGCTTTCACGTTAGCAGGAGGGTGCTCTTTCTTTTCTTCATTTCCTCACCAGTTTCTCAGCCTGTGCCTTGAATCCGTGTTTTAAACCCTTTGTCGATTTTCTCTCTGCGCTTTCTTCCTGTGAATGGTAGCCGCCCAAGAAAGGAAAGGTATGAGCAACAAGTCAGTCAGCACATTTGTAATGTTAATTCTGCAGGAATGTGATTGTCATAGGTATGTAACATCTGTGTGTCTGAAGATATATGCAGCCAGGCAAAGAGTACACCATCCTATTCCTGCAGTAGCTGCCACTAACACACTTGTATGCTCAACCGTGTGTGTGCCCTCAGTAATGTGCCTTTTCCCACTACCACACACCGCCTCTGTTAAACACTGATCTGTAATGTTTTGCTGCTTTCAAGTCATCCAAAAAGGGAAAGCCGGGCAAGGCTCAGGCGAAGCTGCAGCAAGAGGAGGAGGAGAGGAGGCTGCAGGAGGAAGGTGATCCAGATATCTGATCTAAACTGGGGCCAAAATGATGGACTTGTTGGAGGCGTCAGAGTGGGGCATTAGGGGGTGTTGAGGTACTGCATGTACAGATCATAGTGCTTTTGCCTTACAGAGGAAGCACGGCTGCAAGCAGAGAAAGACGAGCTGGAGAAATTGGAAAGAGAGAGAAAAGAGAAGGAGCTAGAAAGGCTTGAGTTAAAGGTAAGCTGTCCCTGTGGAATATAAAATCATGTGAATCTGTTTTTCAGATGAATTAAATCTGAAATGAACTGACTAAAGACCAGAACTACAAATACTAAACTCGACAGCTGTTAATGTAAATACACAGTGGACTGTCTTGTGTATGGGCATACTGCTGTGCAGTGCTCATGGGTGTCTTTTCCTGACAGGACCAAGAGCGCAGAGAAGATGAGCTTAATGAACTCCGCCACCTACTGGAGGAGAATCATACTGCAGTAACCAAATGGAAAACTGCTGCTGTGGAGATGAGCAAGGTGTGTGTTTCTGTCTGTGAGTTATTCAGCAGGAGGGAGAAATTAAGGGATTGGGACACAACAAGGTAATAATCATTATAATGCAATACGCTTTCGATCCATACTCCAGCAGACTCCAGCACGGAAAAAAAGACTATGATGTTCATAAAATGTTTTTTTTTTAATGTAAATAACGTGATCAGACATTTTTATCTTTCTTTCAAAAGCACCAGTAGTTTCTGTCTCGTGTTTTTCCAGTGGGAGAGATACATGCGTTGTGATGGGTCCCCAGACCCGGCAGTGCATCAGGATATTAACACATATATCTGCTTATGGAGAGACGACCCAGAGGTCAACATCACACCCGTGCTCAAGCAGTGTAACCTCGCTCTACAGGTGTGTATTTTAATGTGTAAATGTGTATGTGTCGCACACTCATGAGAACAAATCAGCTCCAGTTTTAAGGATCAGTTAACAAAGTTATCAGAAATAGACTCACTTGCATAGATGCATACTCTATTTGTGCTATGTGACATGTGTTTGTCTCTCTAAGTCTGAAGCAGTAGAGAAGATAATTATATCCAAATAGATGACTTAAGTGTTAAAAAACGACTCACTTTATCCCAC